CTGTCTAGAGATGTCAACAAGCTCTGCACAAAGAGGAATTCACTTCAGACCAGATATCACAGCCACTATGCATAAAACAACAGAAATGAATTTCCTCTAGAGGCAACAATGACATTTCCTGTCAAAAAAAGGAGTCCATATTAAGACATCTTATAAAGCAGCTGCATGAGAAAAGCAAGAATTGCAATTAACAATCAGGGGTTGATTAATCAGATGAGGCAGTTGCCCCCAAGGAAAGTGCTGCCACCCCCTTGCAGGTCCAAAAAAATTACTGCCTGTAAATGAGATAAAGTGATACAATATCTGCAAAAAGCAAGTAATGACCAGTCCTCTGATAATAAGCACTATTTCCCCCATAGGATTCTTACAGAAGTAGCAAATCTAAAGCTTTTCTGGGGCTTTTATTATAAGCACCTTACCAGACTACTTCTTGCTCAAGAAACAAACCAGAAAGCCAAGAATTAAAAATCAAATCAACTAATATTTAATCCTATTGAACGTCTGATATGATAAGCACTCAACCCTAATAATACGCCATTTAGTTTTACGAACTAGGTCATGACTACCAGTTTAGATCAGGCACTCAGGATAGGCCTTCCAACCGCTGTAATGGATGTTTTCCACAGTGCATTGACAGTTGGAGGTAGGGCTTTCCATAAGAAAGGGAATTAAGATGTTAGCATTACGTATAAACAAAGTGAGCACAAAGGTTATCGAAAATACCTTTTTAACTGCAGCATAGAAGGCTCAGAAGTACGAACTAAAGCCTATGCTCAGTATCATCAGCACCAACTGGTTCATCTGCCCAAGAAGTAAAACCTTGCTACTTCTGCCAGATCAAGGAACACAGTGCAAGGTAGGGTATAAACATCCCACGACAGATATAAATCTATAGCCCTGCTAGTTAACCTGGTCCTACAGCACACTCAGCATGTTTTAGCCATTGTTGCTTCTTAAGTACAAACTCATCTGAAATTCACCAATGGCAAAATCAGCTTCTATACAAAGCGAGGCCTTTGAGAGCTCTCAGTCACACCTTTTCAGTTCAATTCAATGCATGAGAGTGCTAGAAGACAGATACAATGGATTGGTTTGCCCAACTAGTTAGCAACAACATCGAACAGCCCAACTTCGATCAGCAGTGCCAAACTTTTTGAGTTATACCGAGGGAGGGAAAAAGGGAGATACAACATCCCAGGATCAACCCCTGGTAGGCAGAAGGCATCTGAAATGCTTTCAGTGTTCTGTTACAGTACAGTAGGATTCCAATCCAGGGCACGAAAAGTAAGTGCCCATCCATTTCTAGTTACATTTCCCACTGCTGCCTACCCTCTGCCTCCAGCTTTTAAGACCACTAGAAGAGTCCACAAGAAAAAAAATAATAATAATCCAATAATACAAATGTAGCAATCTGCTTATAGCTGCCACTTGGTTGCAGTGTTTAGTAGAAAACTGCCACACCTCACAAAATGATCCAGCAGGATCTCCTGATATTTGCTATGCAGTCCCACAACAACCTTTCTTCTAACCAGACCTACTCCAATCCTAAAGACATCTGGAGTCCAACTGGAGTCCATCAATATCAGCTACAGGCAGGATCCTTCATGCATCTTTTGGCATCTGTTACGCTGAGTTTTAGAAAATATTAAGGGAAAAGGCAGCAGCAAATTAGATTTATTTTTAAATCCAAACTATCATAGTGAGATTGAGACCTGCCAATCTCACTGCTTTTTTGTTCTGAGGAGTTCATGCTTGTCGAAGCTGATTTTCTCTGCAATAACACTTTGAAACATAGAAGACTTATGTTCTGTACATACAAAGAAACAGTTCTGCTAATACAGAAAGAGGAGTCCAAACTTCACAATCCCCACTTTGAATCTGTTAGCTCTAATTGTATTAATTTATCCACGTTACCTAAAACAGAACTGCTCAGTTCCCAGTAATAGGACAGTCACACACTTCAAACAAGGTAGATGCTCACACTCCCAAATTCTCAGTGACAAAACCAGTCGCATAGTCACTAAGCCAGTACATTCACGGACAAAATAGCTAAAAATACATTGAAATATCAGCATTGAAATAGATGCAACTGGCACAGAAGAGTTGTCTTTCCTTCCATTATCTCTTCGCAGCTAAATATTTCTTGCAGTATTAAAGTTAAAGCAATTAACCATGGGTCTTGGACCAGCTGTCAATAGGACAACACATTCATTTTTATCAAGATTTGGAACCTACTGTGACATTCAGTTCTATCATCCCTGAAATGGCTCTAGACCAGAGTACAAGACAGCGAACATGAGATCAGAGCCAATCACAGCCAACTGACTTCTCACAGCCAGCAGAGTTTGAAATTGACAGCAGTTTGCAAGAGGCATTCTACCAACCAACCACTTCCACTCCTTTGCAGTACAAAGCGTAGGGGGAATTGTAGTCCTCTTTTACAAGTACTTCAGCTGTTTACATCCTGCACGTCTTTTAGAAAAAAGTATATACAGAGTTGGCTGCTTAACTATAAGAGCACTCAAGATAAAACAATGAAGCCTTCCTGGGAAGAGTGTGGCAGGATTAGTAAGCAGATCTATGATGCATTTTCTACATAGTTTACAAGGCCTTCAACAAAACCCCATCTTGACTTCAGACATTACACTTCACAACAGCAAATCATGTGCCACTAGTTCGAAGGTTACCTGATTTAATCTTGGACTCCTATTAATAGTGTACTAAAGCATAGTGCCCCTGTGAACAAATCTCATGTAACAAGCAATTTCTAGCTAGATATGTTAACATTTAGCCTGGCTTACCAGAAAGCAGGGCCTCAGAACTCAGCAGGTTTTGCTGCCCAAGCCACAAAGCAGCCACAGCATGTTCTGTATGCTTGGTGAGATGAATGATAAGAGCTACCAAACACTTTAGACACAAATGTTTTTCCTGCCCAGCCAGAACTGTTCCCTGGAACATTTCCTCCATCTGTCTTCTTCACAATGGATTTATTTTTGTAATGAAGCCTACATATAGCTACATCTATCTGCTCAAGTTTCACCTACATTTGACCTCAATTAAGTAAAGTTACTTGTGTTTTATTGTTTTGTTAATTAAGTATTTATTAGCAAATCTTAAGCTAGCATGTTAGTGGTCATGTTTCTTTCACATGAAGAACTGATTACACAGTTATGCCAGCGTTTCCTGTTTCTGTAAACCACAGCTCAAGAAATGATGCTTAAAGTATAATTTCAGTTGAGCCTGCAATTGCGGCAGATGGGGCAGGAAACTGAAGCGAGTCCTCTAGCAGGAGGCCTGCAGCTTTCTCTCTCAACAAGCACAAACATGTGAACCACTTTCTGCAACGTATAACAAAATACCTAAACTTCTTTATCTATTCCAGCTCTGACTGTTCTGTCAGAACTAGAAAGCAGCAGATAGCAAACGTGAATCCAGCTTAGGGTGTGTCTCCAGATGAAAAGGAGGCTGTAAGCACCTTGTAATGCAGTGTCAAAACACTTGGATTCATCCTAACAGCAGGGAACACTGCCTCATAAGCCTCCCCATGACATATTCGGGATTTTTGGTCTGATTCATGATAAAAGAAGTCATTCCACAACTGCAAGTCCTCATCAGGCTAAAAAGCCTCAACTGCACTTTACACAGAAGTCTCTTAACCTGAGCTAATTCTGTTGATCTTATTGAATTTTTTGCCTTTTTTAGGAAGTAACTCTTCACTAATCATTACTATTGTTTGAAGAAAGGCCTTCCAAAACCTTTAGTGAGTACTGTGTTCTCAATCTTTAAGGGTTGAATTTGATTTCTTTTAATACTCCAATGTTTAAAATTAAAAGCAAAAATAAGCAAACAAACAAAAAGGAAAACGCTAAAACACATTAATCCACCTCATCTCAGAGATCTGGCATGCTGGCATTTAATACAGCAAGAAAAACAGAAGTCAATTAAGTATGTAATTAATATCTATTTTAAAACGATAACATTAAACTACTTAAAAAAAAAAAAAATCAGGGTGGATCCTGTTTCAACTTCCCCTTATGGAGGGGTGTGGTTATTTTGTTTGGTTCTCCCCCCCACTTCTCTCGATGTAAGAGATACGGTCTTTCAGTTTAAGATCACAAGTCCCTAGGCCGTTTCAGAACATTCTGAGTGAGGAAACATCCAGAGCCTTCCAGTCTGCTCCTTCCTGTTTTATCAACGAAGGGCAGGGACCAATTCTTTCTGCAGACAGGAGAAATTAAATTGAGAAGAAAAAAAAAAAAAAAAAAAAGCTCCCTATTAGTCACTGAACTCCTGTTGTAACAAAGAGTCAAGTACGGACTTGAACAGACTTTCTGAAGTATCAAGATCTCTCCAGCCAAGAAATACTTGGAGTCAAGCTGGGACAAACCTCCCCTAGCAACCTAAACTGACTAATTACAGTTGTGAAAACCCCAAACTTCTCCTCTGCGCAAAGCACACGAGAGATAACCATAGATTTAATTAATTCCCCATCGGGCTCTCCAAAGATTCACTCAACGCGCTCACAACACAGAAGACGCCGGCAAAGCAGAGCAGAGCAAAAAGGCGCCTCTTTATTCAGGCATTTTACAGAGGAGGACAGGCGGCATCCGGGCGGAGCTCCTCGCTCGCCGCTGGTCAGGCGGCCGCCTCCCGCCCCCTCAAGGCGCGGGATGCTGCGGCGGGACAGGAAGCGACCGGCGAGGAGCGCGGCGCAAGATGGAGGGGCGGGCGGATCCCTCCCCACCCGCCGCATCCCCACCGCCGGGCCCGCGCTGCACTCCCCAGAGACCCTTCCTCCCTCCCCGGGTCACGGCCGATCGGCGGCCGCCGCCTCCGCCGATACCTCGGGGGCCCAGCCACCAGGAACGCGGCGAGCCCGGCCGCGAAGAGCTCCCGATGCCCGACGGGGCGGGCAGCCGAGGCTCCGCCGTCCCAACCCCGCCGTGCCCCAGAGGAAACTCGGGGCCGGACAGCCGCCTCACCCTCCCGGAGCGGCTCACCGTTTTCGGCATCTTCCCGGCGTTTTGGGCACGGCGGGCCGCTCGTCCTGCGCTGCTGGGGTTCTCCGCACTGCTTCTAACGGGATTCTCTCGCCCGCCTGTCCCGGCGCAAACCCCACCCCGCCGGCGGCCGCCTTCTTTTGGGGCTGTACCGGGGCGCGGCCCGGCCCCGTTAGCAGGGCGCGGCGCTTTCCTGCCTCGCGGCGTCGGAAGGCGGGGCCGGGAGACGCCGCCGGGACTACTGCAGGCCTTGCCCCGCTGGAGGGACCCTCTGCGAGGCGGCCTCGGAAGGGGAGCGGCGTTGGTGACGGCGGCTGAGGCCCACCGGGGCAAAAGCTGAGGAGTGGTCCATCGTCCCCGAAATCAGGTGCCCGAGAAACCGGGAAAGCCCCGGGTTCTGAAGTTCATTTGCGTATCTGATGTCACTGGGATTTCTGGTCCTTACTGAAAGCATTATTTTGAACATTAGCTGCAAGTTACGGGCAATTGCACGTATCAGAATAAGAGGACGGCAGTGGTGGTGATAGATCCTTTTGTCTTAGTTAGTCTGAGTCATGTGCGCTGGGTGCAGCTCAGAGGTGCTGTGGTAAGTCAATGGTCTCTTTGACTCACGAGCACATTCATTGAGCGTGCTGTCATATACAACGTTCTCATAGCTGCCTGTTTCACTATAAAGCACTCCACCAGCTTTGGGTATTTGAAAAGCATAACCAAAGGGGCTGTGGCTTCCCGTAGTTTGGCAGACACACCACTCCTGGTCCTCAAGCCTTCTCAAAGGCCGTCACCATAATGACATGATATAAATGAGCTGTCAAATCCATTGATGAAAAATGAGGACCACTCCAGAGTTTCCTGTGGTATCTCTGTGAGGGAGCCACTGATGGACAGAATCAAGTTCCAACATTTTTACAGGGTTTCAAAGAAGGCATTTGTATAATCAGTGGATATCAAGACGTTACGATCACAAAAGAAACAAGAGAGTTAGGCGAAGTGGACTATGATAACAAAAGAGAAAAAAATGGAAGACTTACCCTTATGCTGGGCTCACAACAAAACACCAGAAGGAGGGATCTCCAGACCAGATCCTTCCCTACTGGCAGCCAGCTCTTAAATAGGTCTAGGAGGGGGGGGGAGCCTGGCTCCACCCCTTCCGGCAGCACAGGTGAATTGCCTTCAGCTGTGCTCCTCTGGCTGGCTCATGGCTCACCTCAGGTGATCAATCAGAGGTTCAGGCCGTGACTCAGCAGTTCCCATACAGCACTTCATCTCATTTAGGATTTTGAACATAACTGTTAAAAAAAATATATATATATATATGTAATTTTTAAAGTTAACAACTTGCATCTACAGGAAGAAATTTAAACATTGTCAAGAAATGTAATGATTAATTTTTAAGGAAATTTTTAAGGAAAAAAGTCACTGGCTTCCTAAGGGTCTATTTTACATAGTTGCCTTTTTCCTTTTCTGACTCATTTTTACTCAGAGTTTTTCATGACAGTGTTCCACTTCTTTTTTTTTTTTTCCTCCCCCGACAGAAAATGATACTGATAGAAGAGCTCCAGAATAACAAAAGGATTTACTTGTGATTTTAACAAATCATAGGGGGTGTGCATGGTGCCAGGTTTGAATTCAGGATTGTTAAGAGGTTTCCCACTGATTCAAAGTTGCCCTATGGAAACTTCTTTGTCTCCTTATGATAGGGAAAGTTGTGTTCTTCTTCTGTTGAAGCTTCTATTCCTTCATAAGACTGAGGTTACACTTTGGAGGATTTAGTCATTCTTTTTCATAGAGATAAAAGAATGCAGATGATAAAAGTCTAGCTATTTTCTTGCTACATTGAAGGAATTACAGTTTAGCATTCAAGGAACTGATGTTTTCATCATAGTGCTTAGGACAGTAGCCATGATGCAAAGGAAGTCCCTTGCTAGTGAAACAATTGGATCCAAAGTAATCATATTTGCACTCAGGGTGTGCTGGACATTGCCTGTGTACATAGAAAGTCACTAACTATATGTCAAGCAGTCTAAGCAGTCTGAATGAGTGAGACAAAGCAAAAGAAAATCTTCAGCATGACAGACACTTCTTTCTCACCCACACCACTTCTCTTGTCCTTCTCTATTGCTAGTAGCAATAGCTAAAACAAAACACTATTGATGCGATGTTGAAAGACAATGGATCCTTGTGACAGGCACCAGCCTCCAAGCTTTACTTTCTGACCTACTTCTTCCTGTCCTCTTCCCTTAGAATGAGACATTTGAAATGTCTATGCTGCAGGATGCTCCAGCTACAATATCTTCAGAAATCCCTGCTGTGGATGTGCTGCACCAAGATCTGACCTCTACCACAGACCTCTCCTTTGCCAGCTGCTGAGAAAGGATTGTCGTATCAAATAGTCCATTTGCTAAGCTATCTTTAAAGGCCTGGCCATGTGTGAAAACAAACCCATTCATGGATCCCTTGAGAGCTACAGACAAGAGTTATCTTTCCTACCCAACTGAAAGATGAAATTTTAAGGGGTAAAAGAGTCAGCTGTCAAAATCTCCTCCTTGGAGGAGTCTGTACAGATGGCCTCAAAAATGCCATTATTTCCAGCCCACTCAGGGCCTAGATAATATTCAAGTATTTCAGAATTTTAAGCATTCTTCTGGGAGAAGACCTGGTATTTCTCTGGGGATTTATTATCTTGGTTTTCTTCAGATCACATATTCTTTTAGATAGAAAAAGCACATCAGTGATGTGGTCTGGAAAAAAAAAAAAAAAAAAGAAATATGTAGCATGTGCTCTTTCTTCAGTATATAGTTTTCTTGGGTTAATGCTGGGTAAATTGAAACTTTCCCATAGCTATGAAAGAATCATAGAATTTGGGTTGGAAGGGACCTTTAAGATCATCTAGTTCCAACCTGCTGCTATAGGCAGGGACACCTCCTGCTAGATTAGATTGCTCAAAGCCCCATCCAGTCTGGCCTTGAATGCTTCCAGGGAAGGGGCACAAACCCACTGAGGACAACTGTCCAGTCGATTCCTTATTCGGTGAATGGCCCAGCCATCAAATCCATTTTTCTCCAATTTTGCAACCAGGATGTCACGAAGGACAGAGTCAAACGTCAAGTCCACATCGATCACAGAATCACCAAGGTTGGAAAAGACCTTCAATATAATCCAGTCCAACCATCCACTTATCACCAATAGATGATGTCAGTTTCTCTTCCTTTATCCACTGATACTGTAATTCCATCATAAAAGGCCACCAAGTTTATCAGGCATGACTTGTCTTAGTGAAGCCACTTTGGCTACCACCAATCACCTCTTTATTTTCCATGTGCCATGGTAGGGCCTTCAGGAGGATCTGCTCCGTGATCTTGCCAGGCACAGAGGTGAGGCCTGTAGTTCCCTGGATCTTCTTTTATTTTCCTTCTTGAAAATAAAGTTACATTTCCCCTCATCCTATCAGTGGGAACTTCACCAGACCACTATGATCTTTGTCACGTTGTTTGCTTTCTACACTTTAAAAAATTTTCAGCAATGGGAAGAACAAGGGGGAATCTAGCAGGTATTCTGGGACCTAACTCCAAATATTTGGAGCTCAAGTAATAGATAACACAGCTAGCAAGGACGAAATAGTGAATGGGCATAACCTTTGCCAGTTTGGGTGAAAGGCAGTGGTGTAAAAATGCTCAGAAGGCTAGGTAGGATTGGAACAACAAGAGCTTTAGAGACTGACACTGCCACCTTCTCCTCAGTGCAAGAGGATGGGCAAAAGTACCCCTGAAACTTGTCAAGAGAGATTGTTTGTATGGATGGAGGGATTAACTCATACTTTTTTAACTGGACAATTCAAAACTTTGTGTGTACAAAACCTAGAAAATCTTTTATCTAATAGAGCTCAGCCCAGCAAGTGCTTATATACAACAGTGACAAACTTTGTTGCAGAAAGGGAGATGAGCTGGATTCTTAAGCTAAGATCTTCAGTTGTGCCCCAGAGCAGCAGGCTCTTCGCGTGGTATTGTTTTTTTTCCCTCTCTCTCCTACTGAGCTTCCTTCTCAAGCATTTGGTACGAGGTTGAGTTAATGGTACTAGTGTGATGACCCTGTAGGACCCCTGCCTTTCTAACTCAGAGAACAGGAATTCCAAAACTATAGTTAAGGACACCAGGCAAGTCCTTCTGTGCTCTGGACAGCTTGGTCTGGTTGTTGGCAACTCTGCCTGTGCCAAGGGGGGGTTTAAACTAGATGATCATTGAGGTCCTTTTCAACCCAGGCTAAACTGTGATTCTATGATTCTGTGTTTCCCACAGAGCCCCTCAGAGGCTGAGTACTGGGCTGCAGTTGGCTCTTATACAGGTGACCACTGGATAGGAGTCTATCAGGAATGCACTTATGCAATGAGGGTTTCTGAACACTTCAGAATGTAATAATCAGGAGTAAATGTATACAGAGGCTGTTCAAGAGAATGAAAAAGGGCCAAGAAGGACTCCCCGTACTGAACACGAACCAGGGAGAAGCTAGCTGTGAGTGGGTTATTCAAGTCAGTACGTTCTGGCTGTTTAAAACAAAATCATGCTGAGAGCATATGGATCACCAGCACCCACAATGAAATATCACAGCTAGACTCTAGCTGCAAAGAGAGCCTGATCATAACAGGAAACAGTGGAGGCAGGCTCGTGGTGCTGTGATACATCGGGTAGGGCATGGTGATTGCTAATATTCAACCACAAAGGCTTTTAGTCCATGCACAACTATGGAGAACAGCCAGGGCTTTTTTCTATTTGGTTCATGGGATGACAAAGGAGGAGCTCTATGGTCAGGAAGGAAGGAGGGCTTGCAAGGTATATTAATCTCTTGCGGAATCAGCAGAATTATACCAGGGCTGAATTTGAGATAAATGAAGTGAGACCAAATTATTGTGGCAATTCTTACCAAGTTTATTAGAAATATCAGAGTTCTGTGCACAAGTGTCAGTAGTTTGCCTGCCCTAGTTCATACTGAGTGTGACAGAGACTGACAGTCTTCGTTGATCTTTCATAAGATCACAACAATTCCTGCAACAAGATGTCAGTGACATTATGAAAGAAAAGGTAATTTAAACCATTCATATATGGTTTTCCATATTCTCATTTATACCCCTTCCTCCCCCCCCACCTCCCCCCCCACACACACACAAAAAAATCACATAAGGTGATTCATTAAAGATTTCCCTGGGCATTATGCCAGCACCCATGAAAAAAATCTTCAAAAACCAAATGAAGAATCTCTGACCATCCAGTAATTTTTCGTTGTTGTAGAAAATAAAGAAGGAAAGAATGTGTGGAGGAGGAAACAAAGAGCTGGGTTTTATGGGAATAGAAAGCAGCGAACAGGAAAGAGAGCTCTGCAGGGACAGCAGTAACAAATCTCATTACTTCACAAGTCCTGTGGCTGCCATGTACACAGGATCTGCAGACACTGTTCAAAGATCACAGGTTTCTTTTTCATATAAAAATGACCAATTTGCTTCTCTCTGAGCAAAGTAAAAGTACCTGAGACGCTGCAAATTCACAAACCCCATACTAAGGGAAAATCAGACTGTTGAAATACTGTCCTTTTTATATATAAATTAATTAATTAAATAAATGTTTTTAAAAAAATATTTATATATAAAAATATTATATATATATATATATATATATATATATATATATATATATATCTCGGGGGGGGACACGACACAGAGTCTAGAAGATAGCTTTCCTTAGTCCTGTAAGCTGCACCACCAGTGGCAGACTGGATGGTTTTTCATTCTTTATTAGCCCAACTATAAAATTAATGTAATAATATTGGCTCTCTTAGAGGTACAGACAAAATTCCCATGTTCAGGTTTCAGGCAACAGTGCAAATGCCATGCTATATTTTGTGTTAATTATTTGTTAGTAAACATTTACACACAGTGTCTGAACTCTTAATTGAAAATAACTGTTTCCTGACTTTTTTTAAATGTTATATTATTTTTTTTTTTTTTTTACTTTTTTTGAGACGGTCAGCGCAAAGAGTGAATCCAGCCTGGCCCTGAGCATCTCCAGGAATGGGATACCCACACCTCTCTGGACAACCTATGCCAGGGCCTCACCGCCCTCTGAGCAAAGAAATTCCTCCTCACATTTAACGTAAGACTCCCCACTTTTAGTTTAAAACCATTTCTTCTTGTTCTATCACTATCAGACCATGTTGAAATACCACCAGATGAAGTTTGCATAATAGATGTAGATAATCAAGGAGTCTAACTCTCCACATCTTACTACCATCATGCACAGCAAAAGATTTAATTTTCTTCACTTGAAAAATGTTTCTTTACTCGTGTTGCACAGTTGCCAAGAACAGCTGGAAAGTCAGTCAGGTACCTACCTGATCCACTTACACCGCAGATGCACAAATACTGTTTGGATTTGAACTTCTCAATATTATAGCATATCTATTTGTACACTCTGTTCTTTGTAGGAAGTGGTGGTACATCCTGCTAACTTGAGAATTTCCTTGCCTACATGACAGATTCAAACAGAGTGAGAGAATAATAGACCCTGACATTGGTCTTGACTAAGGGTATCAGTAATCTCAGGGTACAACCCCAATGCTATGTGAGTGTGCAGGAACGAGCAAGCTAGAGAGCAGGTACCAGAGGAGGAGAGCTTTTGTCACCAACTCAGCAAAAGCTGCATTTTACCAAAGTGTGGGGCTCTCAAGAACACTTAAAAGCAGCCCTTGGTCTCTTGTGCAGATCTCCTTGTCCACTTACCTCCTTTAGGTCCAACTGAGACAGCAGAACATAAGCCCTCCTACACACAGTCTGCTTCAGGATCCTGTTTCACAAATTTGTGACTCCAGAAAGCCGCTCACTGCCTTCTTAAATACACAGGAAGGCCCAAGCAAGTGACCTTTAACGTTCCCAGCCTAAGACCATCTCCCCTCTGCACTCGCATAATGCTATGATGTGATGGAAAGTACAACAATAACAGCAGGGTAGAAAAGTCCTAGATTACAGAAAATGAAAATAAGCCCAAATGCAACAGCTGTGGATGCAGACTGAAAGGAAGAAAAGTTTACTTACCTTTGGAAGGCCTCAGGTATGCAGGGATCTCCAGAAGGATACCCTCACCTCCACTGCCAACCCTTAAATGAGGTCTGCATTTGCATGCATCTGAGCTCCCACCAGGTGCTCAATCACTGTTTCAAGCCGCAACTTAGCATTTCCTCTACAACTCATAGGCCATTTAATAGGGCCACTGTGGGAGATGGAACACAGTTATTCCTCTAAGTTATCTATCATAAGTAGCAGTTGTCTGTCCTGAAGTAGTAGCCAGTAAATAAGCTATGTGCCCACCCTCAGGCAGCCCTACTTCTGATGTTGGCAGTAGTTTGGGTTGTAGTGCATTCAGCTGCAGGCCAGTACGGCACGCAGGCTGTAACCAAACTGGATTAAGAAGTTTTCACCCCTCCTGTTATCTCTGCAGATAATTCTCATGGGAATCACCAGTTATTCAGCCACTAGACTGTATTAGTAAGCTGCATCTACACTAACTTTTAAGTTCAGATCAGGAGTTGCTTTTTGAAGTGAATTTCCTGTTCACTGCACTTCATTTCCTGTCGTGATATAGCCTCGTAATTAGTAGACTAAATTCTGTTTGAATGAAAATAGGCCAGAAGATCTGCTCCAAGAATACACCTAATGAGCTCCAGCAATAATTTGGTTAACAAGACAAGAATAGAGCATCTCCAGTATAAGCTCCCTCTGCAAATCATTTCATGTCGATGTTAGATATTTAACAGCAGCTGTTTTGTTTTCCAGATCTGCCTCTATTATACCACACTACTTAATGTAGACACACTTACCTGTCAAAGTAATCCAGGATTGCCTTTGTGTCTATTGAACCTGCTTAAGCATTTTTATTAGGACAGATTTTAAACTACCTCAGAGCTGGTAGAAATAAACAGGGGAGCAAGGAGAAATGCAGATTTACTGTGGGGACAGTAACCTCCAAAGCAGTCTCCAATGCAGACAAAATATTGTCCTCAGCATCAGGAAAACCAAGGCACACCTGGGGGCTAGGCTGGCCAGTGCTGCACAGATCATTAAACTGTAGTTCTGGAGTTGGCTCTTAAACCCTCCTACCCTCTGCAAAATGCCACAGCCTCATCCATGGACTGAGTATTCACTGACAGAAGTCAAACTCATCCTTAAATGTGCATGATTCCCCAGAGATTTTACCCACAAGTTAGCACTCACACACAGAGCTGCTGGCATTGCTGCTTATAAACCTAGCTTCTCCCTACTATTCCAGGGCTCTTCACTGGCTCTGTGATCCAGTTCACACAGCAGAGCAGGAGGGAACTGTCTTCACATGAACATTAAGTCAGTGCTCCCCACTGTACTAAAACTTCATCAAAATTGATGCACTTCAGTCTTAGCAATAAAGAGGAAAGAGGAAACTGGCCCATGATTCCAGCTAGTGACATATAATATGGAAGATGATCTCAGCACTGTTACAGACAAATCACCCTTTACCATTTCTTTCCGTGGCATCATTCATTTTTTCCTGAGATTTAGATCTATTTTTGGAGGTCATAAAAATACACAGGGAGTTGCCAGTCATTTTTATTCCAGTGCAGGAACATTATATACAGAAGATATTATGTTTGGCTCCTGCTTGAATTTTTGTATCTTTTTTCTCCAGGTGAGAACCAAACCCTGACAGAAGATAATGTTGTCCAGATAACTATTACAGCTGCTTCTGTGCTAGGACGTGGAGCAGCCTCAAAACAAATAATTAACTGTAAAAAAATCTAGAGCATCATTGTGCAGGAGATGCCTGGGGCTGGAGTATAATCTAATTTGTTCATGATACTTCTCCTATCCAGCTTACTCACAAGTGAAGGGAACTCCCTCCCACCTTGTTAACACTACAAAGTGCAATCTGAAGTCAGCATTATGTGACTGTGAGAGGCAGACACCCCCAGGCAATACCAATTCCCCCCAGCACTCTACTTGCAGTCCTTTTTGATCCACATCTGAACACAATGGTACAGCACACACTGCCTCAGTTAGACACGGACATGGCGGATAGCATAACTTGTATCCCCTAGATTTTTACAAAGTTAAAAAGTTACAAAGTTACAAAGTACTCCCTTGCCATTCTATCTCTGTTCTTAAAATGCACAGTGTTACAGTAGGTCACTCAAAACAGGGATGGATAGGTGGGTAAATAGATTGATAGATATGTAGATAACAGATGGATAAGTAGATGTATACATGCACACATACATACAGTGTTCTTAGAAATTTTGTCATAAAAGTGACTGCTATTCAGCAATAAACACAGAGAAGCAAGTACTCCATCCCAGTAATGCCTGTTCTGTTTCAGGAGGATTCTTCTATCTTCATGGGGACTACAAGCTTATATTTTCAGAACAGCCATAAAGTTTTTCCTTTGCCTCACAGTTTTTTCTCTCACTCAACTAATTTCTGGTTTTCAAATTGCTTGTCCTGTTTTGTTTGTTTTTCAGAAAATTCCCTGAGTTAAAACTACAAAAAAGCCCTCAACGTCAAAACCGGTCTTCCAAGCCTAAACATATTTTGAGACAATCTCCAAGCCTAGATGATTTCTCCCTTCACGAACAGAAACATCCATACTCAGCAATCCTGGGGGCAGAGCGGATTTGTTCACTGCTGCAGATGTCTCTGTTCATTGCAGGGGAGTTGGACTAGATGACCTTTAAGTGTTTCTTCCAATCCAACTGATTATATGAAGTTTGTACAGTGGTTTGAAAATACAGAAGTCCTCCATATCATTCTGTTTTAGAAACCATACAGCTATCAGCATACCTAAGTCCCTCTCAGTGAACGATTCCTTCTCAGCATACAGCTAATCATTAAGCAGAAAAGATGGATCCTCAAGAGCACAGGAAATATCAGAAGTCTTCGCTGAAGCCAGAGAGTTAGATGGCCTTCTGACACTCTCAGAGCCGAGTCACAACATACCAAACTTTTATTTGTGAATGGGCCTTTGGGATTTCTGTGCTGAGAGAAGCAGCAGGGCATGGATCAAGCTGTGTCTTCCCTGAACCACCGCACAAGGCTTCACTAACTTGTCAGCAAGCATCCCTGGACTCACAGTGCTCCATCTTTTCAGAGGGATTGTGGAGAGGGATCAGGAGCGTGCAGCAATTTCCTATGGCACCAAATACCAACCATATGAGTGGAGCCTCATAGTTTAGAGTGCTAAAGTCTGTCTCTGCAGGGAAGAGCAAATTGCCTCACACAGAGCTCTAAGACTACCACAGAACACTTGTTGTCCTCTGCTGACAGCTACCAGAAGAGCACCGAATCAAAACCAGTCAGCAGGCACCCGGTTTGCTGGAAGGAGTTTGATCTGATGCATGCTTGTACTCCCTAGTTACTGTTCACATCCCTCATAGCAGGACATCCAAAATAAGGAACAGACCTACATGTTTTGAAACACATTGAGAACTAGAGAATGAGTTTGAGATTTTTTTGCTTCCTAGCTACACCAAAATAACTATTTTCATGTTTGAAGTAATTATTTTCATTATTCTTATCATTGTAGACTTCAATATATATATATGCTCACACTTACCCAGTTCCAGGACCTCAGGATTTTAAAAACTCAAAGCTAAATCATCAACACTGGCACTATTGCTTTACTTCACTACAATGAACGTCAGTGTTAAAATAATAGAAGACGCGGCTCCGTATCTCTGAAAGTGTTTAAACTAACGCTCGTGTGAAAGAAGCCTTAGTTCTAAACTTCACGCTGTACTGGATATTCTCTCCGAAGGACTGGCCCGCAATACTGACCATATTTTATTACTTTAAGTCATACTCTGACTATTGTATGTTTCATAATCCATGAAGTTTGACTTCTTAATCATTTTGTCACTGGCTTTTTCATCTCATGCTGTAAATCAGCATTACAGAGATAAAAAGACACTTCTGGTTAAGATTTTTGCATTTGATAAAAGCAGGGAAAAAAAAAAAAAAAAGTAATTTACCTCCAACTCTCCAAGTCATTAATCAGGAGTTTTCCATTGTGTTCTCTAGGAGTTGAGTAATGACACAGCAGTAATGTGTTGTGTTGATCCTCCTCCACTGTGACATCTTTCTGCCTTCTGCTTGAGTTGATACACAAAGAGCAAGGAAACATCATAGGTCTTGTTTTGCTTTTGGCAGCTGTAACAATAGGGTTTCCCCTCATCTCACACCCACGCTGCGTGTTTCCTCAGGATTCACACCTGTAAGGTTAAAACTGCACAGCAGAGCCATTTTTTCCATTTTTGTTTATAAAAAGAAAAAAAATAAATAAATCAACAATAAAGAGAGCAGCAACCACAACCTATTAGCCTTTTCTTTGTCTACTGGCATCCACAGAATCACAGGGGTTGGAAGGGACCTCAAGAGATCTACTCCAACATCCTCTGCTAAAGCAGTTCATATATGCTGTAGGTTATTCCTCAAGGATAGCTGCTGACAATACAAGCATAAGCACAATGGGAGAAAACAACAGAGGATTATCCATGCACCCAGATGAGATTTACAAAGTTGCCTGCTTTGATTGTTAATGCATGGAAGAACAGAAATAAATAACCTCCTTTCACCTCCATACCTGCAGGAAGCTTTCTTGTTTCCTCTTATAGAATCATGGGAAGGGAAAACAGGATTACAATGGGCTTCAAGATGTCAGCCAGCATTAACTCACCTCTGTTTTGTGAACACTCAGCGGGCTGCAGAACATTAGATATGTAGACATTGCTTTACAAAAGACCAGACAAAATACAAGTAATAAATGAAGATTCACAGCTGAGCCAAAATAGTACTTCGCTTTTGACAGGAAAAAAGGTGTGGCAGCACAGCAGGGAAGGATAAAGGTTTCTTCAATCCTTGGATGAAAAGAATTGAGAAAAAACTAATCAAATCCATTTCTCCACAGAGAACAGAAGTAGATTGCAGTGAATACACAACATGGGGAGCAGCACTGTATAAGCAAGTCATTCCTGTGCTGTGGGAGAGAGGATATACTGACATGGCGTGATCTTTTTCTTGCATGAGAAGGATCAATATCCTAGAAATACACAACATGGCATCTTAGACGAATATTCACCCCACAAACTTATCAGCAACCCACAAATGCTGAACTGTAAAAATTTGTCATCAGGTACTCGTCCCTGCTGCTGGCTGCTCTGCTATTTGACAGGCCACATCTTTTTACACATCTCAGCAAAAATCCCAAAGCTGGAATAATCGCATACTAGATCTGGTAAACTCAATGCTCGGAAGAAGCTCCCCTCCTTATCTCCACTGCCAAGAACACACAATAACCTCCACCCTCAAATGAGATACAGAATATTAGAAATAAATTCAGGGCCTTAGAACTCCATAGCTATCCTGACAGAATCTGAGTAGTTTGCTTTCCTGGTACCTTACTTCAAGGTTCCTAGATCTTGATTCCAGTGGATGCAGAGTTCTGTCACAGCTGTGCATAAACTTAAATTCCCAGCACCGCAAATGGGCAGCACTGGCAACGAAGAGTAAACTACGTAATGAGTAATAATCATCTTATATAAATGGCTTTGAAGGGAACTCAGCATGGCAAAGAACTGAATGGTTTGGTTCTCCTACCCAAAAATAGCAGAAATGGGACAACTCCCTTTTGTATTCCAGTAAATCCAAGGTAGAGCAATAATAGCAAAATTTACACATGGCTGCTACATTTGTCCAGTAAACTGCAAGACCATTGTGTTTATTTTAATGTCAAATCCCAGGCATGTTTTATTCACTAGACTTACTTTTATCATTTTTCTCATTACTAAGTTTCTTCAGCCTTTTAAAATCTACCTTGTGGTAAAACAACTCTAATTTGCTGGCAGTGTTTAGAGGTACGGGATTAGTATAAAACTGCATGAAGAGAACAAGTTCTATTTTAAAAGGTAGTATTTCATTCAATATCAGTGCCTCAGTTTGTTTACATATCAAGTGAAAATGGTAACTCCCCGTTTTGGGAATAAATGTTTCCCTGTATTCATGTTTGCAAAGCATTTGGAAGACAGGTTGGTATGAATACAAATGATTACAGTTTCAGTACCATACTTCTGAATTTTATTACTCTGATTATGAAGAAAAAACCGCAGGTATCCAGCTGTGGTCTGCCCAAATGGCTGGTCACAAACTATAGCTGGAGGGTGTGGTGTGTATTTGGCCAACTTCTGTCCCTCACAGAAAAGCTATGAGAACCCATTTCTGTGAACCTGAATCTATTCTTGCTTAGAGTGGTACAGACAAAACAGTGAATCAGGATTAACTGTAACTGAGACACAAATCTGACCAATTGAGTCAAATTCCAGGACAGTTCATGTATCCGGGCTCAGAATAGCTCTGCTCTTCATTTCTCAGACAAACGTCTTCTGATGTAGTACACAGGAAAGGAGGAAGAACATTTCACTGGCAGTCTCTGCTACGTTTGGGACTAGCTGCACCTTTCAGAATTATCAATTTAATTCCATATTGGACCGGTCTATATTATCTACAGCTTTTTGACTTAATTACTCTGTTCATAGAGCGGAAGTAGAAGCGAGTACTATAAAAAGTGGATGGCTGGAACAAATAGCTGGTGTGATTAGGGGAGAGCTTACCTCTGCTTGTCCTCTGCTAAGAGCATTTCTTACACTTCCGCTCTACTTTAAAGCGAGCCCAGTTCCAGGCATCAATGCATCATGAGGCATAAATGGTTCCTCTTTAGGAAAAGTAAAAGCAGTTTTTCCTGTTTGTGAAATCCCCACGTCGCCAAGAACAAGAAATCTTTCAAAACTCTATCTTTGCTGTTCACAGAGCTTCACTGCCTTATAGGGTCTGAATCTCCTGGAATCACTCTGGGGGCGGGCTGGGAATGCTGGCTTTTCCTCCTTCTGGGTGATTCTGGGAGGTCCGCAAGTGATGTCATGGTACATTTTAGGCTACAATAACAGGAAATCATCAAGTGTTTATACTGGCAAACTGGGCTGTGATGTGATTTTCCTCGTTTCCCCCTCCCTGCTTCACCCTTACCACTGACTTCCTTGGTATATCTGCTTCCTCTGATTAAAATACTACAAGGTGACAATACCAAAAGAGGAAAAAGGCAAGCAGGGGGGAGATATAAAGGCATATTTTGAAGGGAGGTCTCTCCCAGTTTCACTCACAAATAGTGTATCCTCACCCCCCGCCCCCTGCCGTACACATGGTGTGTTAGTACAGCTGCCCAGGCAGAAGTCAGAAACTTAGCCTGATGAGGCACTAGGATACAATCCTCCAGGCTGCAGATATGAAGAAGAACCTCTTCCCTCCCCAGCAGAGGTGAATCACAGAACAGATCTCAGAAAAGCCTTGTTTCTGAATTTCTCTGGCTGCAGAAACTGTGCCACACAGATGGGATTGAAAGTATATATATAAGGCTGATGGACTCCAAGGAAGAGGAGGCCACATTTCCAGTTTTGGGTCAGAGGAAGGATGCAGATTTCCTATACTCGGAGTCCACACTAGGCTGCAGAAGCACACCAGTGGCTCATGTTAAATCTTTCCTCTACCAATACCCCTAAGACCTTCTCAGCAGGACTACTTTCAAGTTCCTCTCCCAGTCTATATACATATCTGAAGTACCTTATGAAACTGGAGAGGCAATCCCACAAAGTTTTTTTATTTTTAGCACAAAATACACTTAGCCTGCAATAGGATATTACTGAGTAAGAAGAATTTGTGCTGATTCAGAAGAGGACTGGATTTTTTACTGGTAACAGGTCCATGGTGTTTTTAACAAACAGAAACAAAGACCAGAGCAGCAGAGTGCACAAACAAATTTCTAACCAGTTTTTCAGCCGACTGTATGCACTCACCCTGCTCCAAGGAAGTGGCACAGACCCAACAGGAACCCTGTCTCTTATTTCTTTAGGTCTTGTCTCCTTGTTTACCATGGCACAAGAATTTAATGGCTCAAACTATGCAAAGATCCTGATGAGAGTCTTACATTTAGCCACTCTTGCAGATAAATATCTTCTCTGACATCATGTCAGCTGTCACAGACTTACACAGAGTTACTTTTCGCTCTAATTTCTTGTATTTTCTGTGTATTCCTTTGTATTGTGTTGGCTGTGAATTCCTACATCTACAGCCACAAAGCAGCAGAAAGGACATCCCCTGACCCCACATAAGTGTCCTCTCTATGAAACCCTTTAGCAGATCATAACCATTTACTTCTTAGAAACAGGCCTAAGTAAGGAGACGATGGCTTCCTTCGAAAATAGAACGTTGTGTTCAGAATGAAGAGTGCATAACTCCAAAATGAGAGATACCCATCTCCCAGTCACTGTCCTGTGGTAGGACTTGCTGTCTTAACTCTAACGTGAATTGTCCTAAGCCCAAACAGTATTTCTTTGGAGCTCACTGGATCATAAGTGGCATGTCTGTTTATCCCTGCTGAGTCTCTAAGCGGTTAGCCAGGCCTCAAGCATAGCTAATAGAAATGAAGACAGAAAATGAACAGCTTACCTGAGGCCACAGTTGTCCCAACTGATAAAAGTCGTGGAATCGTAGCTGATGCAACAGTGTTCTTTCTCCTTCATCTGTACCCGCCCTCTCCTTCTGTCTCATTCCACAAGAACTAGATGAACAAATCAGGAAGGGAAAAGGTGGAGCAAATAATTTCATTTCTATCATCTTTCTCTCCATTCATACAACATCAGCAACACCAGCAGCTTTGAATAAGGCCAAGAAATCTTCCAAATGGAAAAGCAAAAAGGCTGAGACAGTCACTCAGCAAAATCACCTGGATTATAGCATCTGTCTCAGAGCACCATGACTGTGCTTGGTCTTTTTTGAAATTGTAGATCTTTGCTCAAAAACCTCAAAAGCAGATAGACAGGAACAGATTTAGAAAAAGAAACCAATACAGTCGGAGGCACTGACACTTTGCATCTGTGTTGCCACCATGTTTGCAATTGAAAGAAGTTAGTGGAAGGAACAGGCACTACGAAAAAATGACCATTTTAATTTTCTCAAATACCCATCTCTGGGTAGAGGTAGGATAACACAACCAATAGTAAAGCAGCCTAAATTCAGGATGTCCGGGACCTGGACCTAACAGCAGTGTCCCAGTTTTGACAACTAGGTTTGTCTGAGTTTCACAGAGGTCAGTGAAACCAGCCTCTCCACACTGCTGGAGTTGAATTAGCCCTCCATTTATTCAATACGCTCAGGAGGTCTATGGCTTGTAAGTGTATCTGGTTCAAGGTGAAGAAACATAACAGAAGGTATTACACTTTGAAAACAATACAGTGAGAAATTGCTTCCTGTTTGTATTCAAAGTGATCCAGCTAACCTTGTGGCAAAGGGGCAGGCACAAAACAGAACCATCTACCTTGGCAACAGATCCATCCTTTAGAAATTTCTCTTTGCTTTGTGGCACAGCTGAAGCACACTCTATGGATTAGGGCAGCCCTAAAGGCTTCTGAGTCTCCTACAGGACAGCCACAAGTTGCCTTCTTTTTCCCCCCACAAATGACAATTATGACTTAAATGGATTTTTAATAATCACTCTCATCCCTAAGAAGTCAATTCTCCAAACCTTCAAATTCCTAGGCCTAGAGCTGAGATAATTTTATGATTGATATATTACCAACATGCAGAATGCTGTTTATCCGAAGTATCTTCTGACTGAACAAACTTCAAAAAAAGACAATTCCAGTATGCAGCACGAAGATTTCTGACTTCTGCACATTGTAAATTGGCTGGATGTCCATTCTCTGAATGGAATGGTTATTCACTGGTCTATTCTCTAAGCTAATTGTGTTTTTTTAAGTCATTTTTCTCCTGCTATATATAGCATTTTAACTTACATGAAACCAGACTATTTCTTCAAGAACAATGTAACACCTACATTACCCAGACCACGTACAAGACGCTGAAACTTAACTCCATGCAGTTTTCTTTGAGCTGGTCTTCAGATATACATTCAATCCAACCCTTAAGCCCAGTGCCAAGTTCTCAGCAAGAGCAGATCCAGCAGAACTACAATTTCACACTAGCTTTGCCTTAACGTTGCAGCTGTAAATACTAGTTTCATGACAAATAAGAGCAGACACTAACTGATGTGACAGGAGGTACATTAGGACCCACACGGAGTTACATTGCACAGAAATGCCCCATTCTGACATTCACAGTGAGCTTCCTGTGCAGAAATGACTCTGCAGTACACGCTCAGAGAGCACCCCCTCCTGGGGGCAGCACTGAAAGCTGATCTCCTCAAATGCAGAAAACATCTCCTACGGAACATCTACTGAAAGATGGATGCACACCAGAGGGGGTGGCTGAACACAGAGAAAAGCACAGCAGAAAACAAACAATGAAACACTTCCTAAATTTGCAGCCAGTAACTTGTAAACCTCTCCATCAACCCCCCCAACAGGATTTGACATAAATTCTCAAAGTGGGATTATAGCCTATGATGAATACTACAGATCACCTCCTAAAATGGGGAAAGCAGCCCACCTCTCCATATATTATTACCTTAACCCTGAAAGAGTGAAAAGGTTTTTCAAAGATATGCCAGATATTAAACTACCACTTGACTCCACAGTTGAAATGTCTTCTTATGCCTGGGCTAAGAGGCACTGGTTATCAGTTGATTCATTTCTACCCCAAAAGTTCAATTTCTCTCGCTACACTTTGTTATTCTGCTTCAGCCAACAGCAAGATGCCAGCTGTGCCTCTTGTATTTCTCAAATCCCAGATTTTCTTCTTCTAAGGCTGTCCTACAGGTATTTACAGGGCAGTGGAAATGTTTGGTCCTACAGTAGTTCATTACATAACTAACCGTCTCAGCACTCCTATCAAAGAAGAACTTTGGCAGTCAGATCACAGCTGTAGATGTTTGAGGCATGTGATTCTGCAAGGCCACGCAGCTTAGTTCCTAAAAACGCATAAAGGATGCTACAGTATGTTGCACTGCTTTGTGCTTGCACAGATTTTCTGACTGCTCAGAATCACTGCATATCTGCAAGAACAGAGCAACATCTGCAGCCTGTACTCATTGTGCTTAATCCTGCATTCAGGGAAGTTACCAGGAGTTTTACACTGGCTGCAGGGGAACTGAGGCAAGCCTCACTCAGGCAATGGGATTGTCCATGTAGCGGACAGGCAGTAATTCTTCACTGTAATGAGTGTGCAACCAAGTCGCAGCTTCCAGCCTTTTCTGATGGCGCCGAATGAGGTGCTGATGTAGTTCCTCAATTTTAGAAGTCATCCTCGTGCCAAGGCTTGTTTCTCCTCCGATCCCGGATGGAAGTCGGCTGCAGAAATGACGACTCTCGCGCTCACCACTTTCCTCCAAAAGGAAAGAAAGAAGGGCCAACCGAAAGCTTGGCGCACAGTCTCCAGCGCTGCCCAGCCCTCTCAAGTCCGTCAGCCCCAGCAGGACGCACCCACAGCCCCGCCTCGCCTCGCCCGGAAGCGCCGCCCGCAGGAGCGGAAGCTCAGCGCGGAGGACGGGCGGGAGCCGCGCCATGGCGGGCAGCGGCGGGGCGGCGTGGCGCTGCGGCAGGCGGTCCTTTTCCCCCAGCCGTAAGCGGCTGAAGCCGCTGCGAACTGTGGTGGCGTGGAGGGGAAGGGCGGAATGGGACCAGGTGATGGTGGGGTTGTACTGCGGAGACAGCCGGCTGCAGCAGGAGGCGCTGGATCGGGTGTCGGCCTGGAAGAGCCGGTACGGGCTGCGTTCCGGCGGAGAGCTGCTTTCTGTGAGCCTGAAGCCCAGTGTGCCGGCTCTGCCCCTGGCTGGTCCCGGCCTCGTGTGCCATGTCCGTAAGGGAGGCTGCGGTCGCGTGCACGTCGCAGGGGCTGCGTCCTACAGGGCGCCTTCTTCTTGCTGGAGCTTCCAGGCACGCATGGATCGTGCTGTGATATTCGGTCTGTA